GATACCTTCTTTCTTGTTGTTGTTGGATTAGAATAACACGTTTTTGGAAAAAATAATAAGATTTTTGATAGCCTATGAAAGTAAAAATCACGAAGGAAAAGCACTAATAATTGTAATGAAATTTTGCGGAAAAAATCTTACTGTGTGAAACACGAGTCAAGCAATAGGGTTTTGGCAGCACCTTAATTCCAAATAGATGATCTCAAATTCCATTAAAAAGTATATAATCATCATAAATCTAATTTTTAATTTATCACTGTCATCCTATTCTCACAATTCATTAACTTATATAATTAGTTTAATTAATTAAACATATAAATTGTGTGTTTTTATGCAGAATGTTCTTCATATAATATGCAGAATAACGTTCAATATATAATTATACGTTCATTTAAATGTTTTTCTCGGTCTTTACATACAATTATTGTACTCCCTCTCTCTGCCACAACCAGAAACAATTAAATACCATCTAGCTGTCTTCAACTTTGGTCACATCCATTATTTGTTGTGAAAAAGAAGGGAGAGATGAGGATATCTTAAGCAACTTGCTCTCATCAATTATTCAACACGTTCATTGTATCGTTTCAATGTTTTGTTTGGTCACTACCATCTCTTTTGCTTTCTTTTTTGTTTTCTAACAAGAAAAATAGGCCATTTATTTGTTGTAAAAAGTCAATGTGCAATAGTTTATCAAAGACTTAGTCTGTAAAAGTTAATTCACTTGGACTCCGGTTGGTTTTGAAAATATTGAATTAACAGAAAAATAAAAATAAAAATAATCTTGAAGGTAGATAATTTTAAAAGATTAAGTGAATGTTATATTAATATATTTGATTAGATTAGTGAATATAAATAATTAAGATATTTAGCTAGAAAGGATAAAATATTATTGAGAGAGATTTTACTAAATTGTCTTTCATTTTAAATATTATTATTATTCTTAGTTGAATAAATTCTTTTAACCCCCTATATTTGAGAATTTAGCTAAAACACCCCAATAACAAAAATTTAAATTTTAACAAAATATCCCCAACCGCCTAAACCACCGCTGGTTGCCGGTTGCAATCGTTCAAACGGCGAAAGATCGACAGGATCTAACTGACTGTGCATTATTTTAGCTGTTTCCAGCCAGATCAAACCAGCCAAATCCACGACGATCTGGCTGTTTCTAGCCAAATCTATTCAAAAAGGATACATCCAAATCTATTATGGCTGTTTTCAACCAGATCCACAACTATCTGGCTGTTTTCGGCCTTAAATATGCAGAAAAAAGCCAGATCAGTGCACGATCATCCAGATCTTACTGGTCGTGCTCCGATCAACCGATTGCCAACGACGGCCAGCAGTGGTCTTGGGTGGCTGAAGGTATTTTTTAACTTTTAAACTTTTTTGTGGTTGGGGTATTGTTAAATTTTTAATTATAAGGGGTCTAGGTAATTGTTATTTGGTAGATATTTAAGGACAGTTGTGTAGGAAATGATATTTAATTAAAGAAAAAATATGTATAAAATTAAGATTATCTCAATAATATTTTAATACTAGCTCTGAGATAGTAATCTTATTACTCCTATTTTATCAATAGTAATAACTGGGAATGAAAGTTTATAGTAATTTTTCATTATTTTGAAACCAAGCAAGAGAATGTACGAAAACAAAGATAGATTTATGAGTAATCTTTCCATTGCACAACAGGTCCGTTTGGTTTATTGTTTCATACCCTATTCCCAATCATATTCTCAAAATAATTGTTTGTTTCATTATTAAGGAAATATTATTATATTTTATTTAATTACTTTAGATCCCTTAAGTTTATTAATTTAATTAGACTCCCTAAAAAAAGTTAAAAGATTAACAAAAACACCCCCACCCACTATTGCCAGATTCTAACAACCACTGTCGATGGTAGCTGAAATCTATCACAACGACGTATAAATGACCTGAATTGGTCGGTAGTGGATTTAGTCAAAAAAGGCAAGATCTGACGTCCAAAGAAATGACCGTCGTTGGCTAACTCTTGGTCGTCGTTGACCGACAATGACAGTCATATCTTTGGCTACCGCTAATGGCTAGATCTGGCCTTTTGTGATTGTCGACGGCCAGATTTAGCTGTTGATCTGTCCTTTTCTAACTAGATTTGTGCTGTATTTGGCTGAAAAAGGCCAGATCGACGGTGGGGGTGTTTTTATCATTTTACAAAGTTTTTACATATTAGGGTATTTAGTTAAATTAACAAATATAAGGGGTTTTTTGTTAATTTTTAAATTTTACCTCGTAATAATCATCTAACTCAATTATTTAATATTATCTTTAAAATTTTATCCAAAATAACAAACCAAACATAATGGGCTAGGTCAAAAAATGGAAACCCATTGAGAGTGGTGAATTTAGATTTTTTTGAAAAAATGTTCAAGAAGCCTGAGTGCATGTTAAATAGGCCCGAATATTATATAAATATACATTTATTTATTAACCTCTTACATGGAAAAGAGTGCTCTTGTATTAACCTCATCTCAAATATATCACAATCTCTTTCTTCCTTTTCTTTCTCCGTCTAAAGAAAAATCCATGGCCCCTCATACATGGGAAAGAGTGCTCTTATATTAACCTCAGCTAACTGTCTCTCTCTCTCTCATGTGGGTTTTGTCATAAAATAGTTTCATTTTCATACCCTCTAATGGAATCTACGTGGAAAATTTTCGAATAAATTATTCTATATCTAATAAAATATTATTAGATAGATTTAGAGGGTATTTGTCTGAGCTTATGAAAAGTGCTTATAAGCTAATTTTAGTTTATAAGTATTTAAAATTTTAAGCAATTATGTGTTTGGTTAAATTACTTATAAGTAACTGATAAATAGTTGACGTGTTTGGTAAAATATGGCTTATAAGTACATTTTATTATAAAATGACTAAAAATGGTACTACATTAAACAATGGTATATTATAAAATTTTAAAATTAAATAAGGATAATATAGTAATATACTGATCAAACTAACTTATAAGCAGAATGCTTATAATAAAAAAAAAAAAAAAAAAGTTGGAAGGAATCTTCAACTTTTGTTTTTTTTTTTTTTTTACTAAGCTCAACTTATAAACTAAAAAAAAGTTATAAACAAACATGTCCGCTTAATTTTAGAGCTTATAAGCTAATTTGACCAGCTTATAAGCTTAGACAAATACCCCTATATAGCTTAAATAGAAATAAATGGTGGACAGAGGTTGAACAGACGAAATTCTCTGGCATTTTAACTAATGCATTTCTTCTTGAAACAATTACCTAATTAAAACTGACACGGGAAAACTTAATATTTAAGAAAATAAAAATGTAAAACAAAAAATGGAGGTCTTTAGTCTTTACCAACGTATATATTTAAGCAAAATTTGTAAACTTTTATACATAAATTCAAAATCATTATTACTAATTAATTACTTTTATACTAATAACAAAAATATATACATAAATTACCTTATGTATATTAATAATTTAAAGGAACAAACTAAAAGTGTTGTAAATGAAAACATAAGAATAATTCAAAATATAAATAATATCTATCATCTATAATTCAAGATTTATTATAATAATTTAAAATTCATCTATAATTCAAGATTTTTATTCATAAACAATTAAATTATTAATAAAAATCTAATTAAAATACTTAGATCATACTAAATGGTGTTAAACTTGGTTATTTTGTTCTTTTTATTTTATAAGGGTAGTGATTTTATGAGAAAACTTGTTCTTTAACAAAAATCCTTTATATTAAGTTATAAGTATCAAAATATAAAATAATAGAATAATTTAGTAATTTAAAAAACTCAACAATGTAAATTTGAATGTCATTGTCATAACTCAACGTTGCACCTTCAAGATTACAATTTACTCCTTTAAGAAATACTAAAAAAAAAAAAAAAATCACAAAATCTCGGCACCAGTAAAAGTCTATAAAAGACGTGAGATGGACAAGGGAGGGGCAGAGAACAGTACATGTCTTCTAATGTGAATACAAAGCATTCAATTACAAATTGATGCGATGTTTATTGGGTTGAGAATAAAAGGAACATTTAATTATCAAATTTGTAAAAAAACAAAAAAAAACATGAAGGCAGGTACAGGACAAGCTCGCCTAGGGAAAAGTTAAAAGGTTTACTTGTCATAAAGTGGAAATTAAAGACTGAGAGAAAATAGTCGATGTGTAATTTCCTCGATACTTCTTGGAAGTGGGTGGGTATAATATTACTCTACTCTTTCTCTAATATATTTTTTTTAAAAGCGTGAAAATAAGAAGAGAGAAAAATCGAAGAATTTTGACAATAGCTTTCTTTCTTCGAAACAATTACCCAATTGAAAATGATCACAAAAAAACTTTCTCAAACAACTGCGTAACACCTCATAGCGCTGTAAGTTAATTTCTGAACAATCTTTGATTTCTTAATTTCAACTTTTCTGGAGTTTTGGGTTGGTAAAAATGTTGGGCAACAAGTTTTAGAGTTGTTGTCAGGAGTTTTTCGACAGCGATTTCGACTCACGAGTAGTTTGTTGAGTCGCGAGATGGACTTTGTTCATTGCTGAGGCTGTTTAAGAGAGGGCTAACATTTGCGACTGTTTCTGCTTATGGAGGTAGTTGTCTCTTTTGTTCTTTTTGCAGTTTAAGTCTACACATGGATAAAAATGTGATTTTGTGGTTGTTCGTTTTATGATTGGGTTAATGCAACGAAAATTTGTTGTTGTTTTGTTATTTTTATTTTTTTATTTTATTCTCTGGAAATTGAAAATACGTATAGATGGTCTGCAAGAAGTAATTACCTTTCCAATTAATTTTTCAGGTTCTATAGAGGACGTATTGTAAAACTCATCATGCAAACAGCCTCTTCATCAACATCTTCTTCTTGTCTTGGAAATATGATGTCTTTCTAAGCTTAGAGGTGAAGACACAAGGAAGAGCTTCATAGATCACCTTGTACACTGCTTCAAACAGAAAGGCTGCATGTTTTTAGGGATGACAAAGAACTTGAGAGAGGAAAACCGATTTCACCAGAGCTCCTTCATGCAATTGAAGAATCAAGATCTGCGGTGTTGTTCTTCCAAAAACTATGCACTTCCACGTGGTGTTTTAGATGAACTTGTTCAAATTGTTCATTGCAAGAATATAAAATTTTTTCCAGTTTTCTATAACGTGGATCCTCCATGGTTAGAAAACAAACAGGAGAATATGGAGAAGCCTTTGTCAAACATGAGAAACTTTTAGAGAGGATATTGGAAAGGTGCAAACTTGGAGAGATGCTTTGACAAAGGTGGCGATCACTCTGGATTGGACTTGAAGGATGGGTATGTGACAATTATTTCTTTCTTTATAGTGAAAGCTTAGTTATCAAAATGAATTAGAAAATGATATTTATGACTTGATTGTTTAAATGCGTTAGTCATTAGTGTTGATACTACAGATTAAGCATTGAATTTCTTATTCAAACCAAGTTTTATCTTTATCAGAAATTTAAAGGTATTCATAGTTTCATACAATGAAATATTTAATTAACAAATTCTTAATTTGTAGAGACAGTATTTAATACTAAATTAATTAATGTAAAAGATAATTAATAAAATAAGTTTTTTCATATTTCACCGAGTAATGATAGAAAATGATGGAGGCCAGTAATTAATAACTTGGTTTTTCTTAGACAAGCATGAATATTTTTATTCAATTTTCCTTGTTATTGTAACTAAGACATATAGTATATAATGCGAGAAGTATAGAAATATAACTACAATAGTGACTGAATGCTAAAAGTAAACCTAAACAAAAAGCAAAAATGAAAGTTTCATGTGTATAAACCAATACGTGTACGTAGATAATTTCTATGATACGCACTATATATTCATTAGTATATTCATGATTAGCTAGTGTCGTAAGTTGTAACAGCAATTTTTTCTTGATATTTTCCACTCTTCAGGTTTGAGTCACAATTTATTCAAGACATTTTGAAGGAAATATCAAGTAAATTAAGTTTTTCAAAACACCCAAGTGTTGAGGGCCTAGTAGGCATAGATTCACGTTTCAAGGAACTAAAGAAATTTTTAAGTCCTGAGTCAGATGATGTTCGTATGGTTGGGATTTGTGGAATGGGAGGAATAGGCAAGACAACAATTGCTAGAGTTGCCTATGAAATGTTTTCTGATGAATTTGAAGGTAGCAGTTTTTTGGCTAACGTTAGAGACATTTCTGAAAGAAGTGGTCAAGTTTCTGTACAAAAGTTGCTTCTTTCCGAAATTCTAAAGATGAAAATAGATGACATCAACGTATACAATGACTTTGATGGAATAAGGATGATAAGAAGTAGGTTGGGGTGTAAGAAGGTTCTTATTGTTATAGATGATGTGAACAATCTAGAGCAATTAGAAAAATTAGCTGGCAAGCATGATTGGTTTGGCAAGGGTAGTAGGATCATAATAACATCAAGAGACAAAGGATTGTTGAAATCCCATGGAGTAGAGAGAGTTTATGAGGCTGAGAAATTAAATGATGATGAAGCCCTCCAATTATTCATTTCAAAAGCCTTTAAGAAACATCAACCTTCAGAAAGTTTTAAGGAGCTATCCAAACGTGTTGTACAATATGCTAGTGGTCTTCCATTAGCTCTTAAAGTTTTGGGCTCCCTTTTTTGTGGAAAAGAAGTTCATGTATGGAAAGATGCATTGCAAAGACTAAAAAGAGATTCTAAGAAAGAAATATTGGACGTGCTTCAAATAGGCTTTGATGGGTTGGAAGAATCAGAGAAAAAAATATTCCTTGATATAGCATGTTTCTTTAATGGAGAGAATAGAGATTATGTGACAAGAATTCTTGAAAGTTGTGATTTTTCTCCAATTGTTGGAATAGATGTTCTAATCGATAAATCGCTCATAAATATTTTATGTGACGATAAATTGCGGATGCATGATTTGTTACAACAAATGGGTCAACAAATTGTTAAGAGGGAGTGCTCTGAAGAGCCTGGAAAACGCAGTAGATTGTGGATGGAAGCAGACATTCGTCATGTATTGACAGAGAACACGGTAAGCAATTCAATTTTGTTATAATCATGTGCACATTTTCAATCATCGTTTGCATTAACTAGTGCATTGTTAGCATAGTAGCTAGCCTCTCCAGATTACACATGCATGTTTAATTTTTGTTTTTTTTTTTATTTTTTTTATTTTCTGTATTTGTTGACCAATTTGTAGTCCAGTTGAGCATATTAAAGTCTCTTGTTCCTCAAAAACACTTTTATTTCCAAAATTTTCTTTTTGTTTGTAGTTAATTTTGTTTCTCCTTAGTTTAGATGTCTATGATATACATGAGCATACTAACAAAGAATTAATGATAGGCTTCTTTACTGTAACAAATATATCATGAAACAAAACATTTGTACATTTAATTAGAATAGTACGATCTATAATTTAAAAAAAAAAATTGATAATTATTTCTTATATTATTTTGAAAAAGAATAAGGAAAAAAATCAATTAAATATATATCTTAAAAATTCATGAAAGCTTTTAGTATCATTTCATGAGAACAAATTTCTAAATATGTAAAATAAAAATACTTATATTAGATTTTTGTGAAAATGACGGAGACATATATTTAAATTAAAAAAAATATAAAAAACCTATATTATTTTAACAATTTTAAATTATAACAATGACGGAAACATATGTTTAACAAATTTCTAAGTATGTAAAATAAAAATACTTCTATTAGATTATATTAAAATGTTATAAATTGTTGTCTCTTGTTTGTTTAAGTTGACTGCACCCATATCTATATAGATAAATTCATGTGTTATTAATTCTTAACTTGCTTTCTCTCTCTCTCTTGTTTTTGTTTTGTTTTTTTTTTTTATTTCAAGGGAACTAAAGTTGTTGAAGGCATAATACTCAATTTTTCTGAAGAAAAGATCAATTGTTGTCCTAAAGCATTTTCAAAAATGATCAATCTAAGATTACTCAAGATACGTAATGTTCAACTTCCAAAAGGTCTTGATTACCTTCCCAACAACTTGCGTTTACTTGATTGGGAAGGATATCCTTTAGAATCCTTACCACCAAATTTGCAATTGGACAAAATTATTGAGCTGAAAATGGATAAGAGCCATGTTCAACAATTGCAGCAGGGAATAACTGTAAGATTAATTCAATTACACTTTCCTATTTTAATTTTTATGAGTAAAATAACTACATATGAAATATTTTATGCTTTTTATTGTTTAATAAATATGGAAAATTAAGACATCCCACATCTTTGTCTAACTTTTTTTTTTCTTTTAACAGCCTTTCAACAATTTGGAATCCATCAGTTTTGAAGAGTGTGAGTACGTAATCAAAACACCAGATTTCACATTTGCCCCAAATCTCAAAAAGGTGATTCTTGAAAGATGTACAATGTTGCGTGAGATTCACCCGTCTTTGTTGGTTCACAAAAAGATTACTTATTTGAATATGATATCTTGTGCGAGTCTTATAACTCTACCAAACCAGATTCATATGGAATCTCTAGAAAAACTTGATCTATCTTTTTGCGGCAAATTGGAGAAGTTTCCAGAGATTGTAGGAAGTATGGATTGTCTAAGTTACCTTTCTTTAGACGTAACTGCTATTAAAGTACTGCCAATGTCAATTGAACTTTTGAGTGGACTTGAATATTTTAGTTTGATATGGTGCAAAAATCTTGTGAGTCTTCCAATCACTATAAATGGTTTGAAATCTCTTGAAAATTTTTATCTTTTTGGATGCTCCAAACTTGATAACTTGCCAGAGACTTTGGGGCAAGTTGAAAAGCTATCGACACTTCATGTAGGGGGAACTGCGATAAGACGACCAATGGAGTACATTTTTCTTATGAAGAATCTTGCATGGTTAGATTTGGATGGATGCAAAAGACCGACTTTTAGATTGCCCACTTTGTCAGGTTTGTGTACATCTTTAACAAGATTAAATCTCGTTGACTGCAATATGGAGGAAGGGGATATTCCTAATGACTTTTTCGATAGCTTTCCTTCATTAGGGGAATTAAAACTAAGCAAAAACAATTTTGTTTCACTACCTGAAAGCATCAATCATCTTTCTAAGCTTGAACTTCTTCTCTTGAACGGTTGTAAGAGACTTCGATCTCTACCAGAACTTCCATCCAACCTAATATCTATTAACGTAGATGATTGTGTTGCACTGGAAACAACATCAAATGCATTAAGGTTATGCTATTCCACGTTGTCAGAATTTTCATGTCTAAACTGCTTGAAATTGATCTGCTGCAACAATCAGGCATCTTCAATGCCCAGAGAATTCCTTAAGGTCAGTGTCTTTCTCTTTCTCTCTCTTCATCTTTTGAGTTAAACATTATTGTACAACTTTTCTTTCTTTTTCTGAGTGCAGGCAATGTCAAAGCCAAGAAACAGAGATTGGATTCCTTCTCCGCCGATTAATGAATTTGAGATGGTTATTCCTGGAAGTGAAATTCCAGAGTGGTTCCAACATCAGAGTGAGACTTCTTCAATTAAAATAGAAAGGCCTCTAGATTCTTGTGATAACGAGATGGTGGGATATGCTGTCTGCTGTGTTTTTTATGTCCATGAGCATCAGCCTATCCCTAGTAAAGGTTATTACATGCCCACACATGAGATTGGCTGCAGATTGACCAATATCCCTTCATTTTATGAACCTGCGATTCGTTTTGAATGTAATTTGGGCAACGCTGTGTCAGACCATCTTTGGCTGTTATATATTTGTGCTGGAGAAGTCAATCGACGTTTTGGTAAGCTTTCATTTGCACCATGTGGTCCAAGATCAGAGGTGAAGAAGTGTGGGAATCAAGATTTTGTTGAGCTTTCATTTGAACCAAGAGGTCCGGGATCAGAGGTGAAGAAGTGTGGGATACATCCAGTATATAAGAAAGAATTAAAAAAGTTGCATGATGATTTTCTCGGATCAACGGCGGATGTTGACTGTGATGGGGCAGAAGACGAAGATGAGATATATTTTTCAGCTGATGATGAACTGCCGGAACCTAAAAGATTGAAGAGTCATAAGATTTAATAATTTTTTGTTATGGGTTGTTGTCAGCTTTTTGTTTTTTGCATTGGGCTTTGCTATAACATATACTGGATTATTTGCCATGGAGAGGCGTGGGACTCTTTATTCCAAGTGGGGACAATTTTTTTTTTTTCTCTTTTTATACTATTAAACAAATTAATAATTAATAATTAAAATTAATGGATATTATTTTATATTTTCTTAAATAATTTCTGGATTTAAAAATAATATTATTAAATATTTTCAATTGATTTTTGTATATTTAATTTAATTTTATATTTTAAATTATAATATTATATTGAATGATTAAAAAAAATTTTGGTAGGAAAATAATTATTTATTAGGTCAAGATGTTGTAACTTAAATTTTTTACTTAATTTTTTGACACACCTTATAAATCGTCTATCATTATTGACCTATCTTGTCACCGCTAGTTTATTAAAAGATGAACGATTCATAAAAAGTGTCAAAAAATTAAATTAAAATTTTAAGTCACGGTATCCTAACCTTTACTGTTTATTTAAAATATAAAATCATAATCATAATTAGTTTTTTTAATTAATATATCTTCCATTCAAGTATCTTATAATTAATTACTATATAAATATCATAAATATTGATATAAATAATACAAATATTAAAAACAAATTAAGATGAAGAAAATGCTACAGAGTATTCTATAATTTCAAAATGAATGTTAAAGTTAAACTAGATTTTAAAGTTTTTAAATATTTTTTTAATATAAATATTTTTATTAAATAAATAAAAATGAATGTTAGTGTATCAGTATACAAATTAGTATGAATAAAAATCTTGTTAACCGCTATGTACTTATTTTTATTTATGAAAGTAATAACAATAAAATTAAAAGTGAATAAGAAACAATCCCTAAGGTTCTCATTGTGAAATTCTTAAAAAAAAAAAAAAAAAAAAAAAAAAGGAGGCTATTTCAGAATTTTTCACCTAAAGCCCACACTGGTGGAAAATCATCATATTACAGCTTTAAACCAAATATCTCTTCATGGATCTATTATTTTAAAAGTTATTGCAATTTAAAAACATTTTGTAATAGAAAATTAGAAACTTATTCAATAATAGGTCTGGCCTATCAAAATATCTAATTACAAGCCCACGTTTAAGGCCCAATAAAAAGGCAACACTACCAGGCCTAATACAAGATTGATACTTTAAGTTTTGATTTATTTGCTTATTTTAAAAAGATAAAAGATAAAAGATAAAAATTAGAGTGAAACACCTTACTAATGAATACGACCAAAACATATAAGATATATGCATACATTTATCACAGTCTAGACCAAATTAAGTAGATATTAGGTGTGACATTTCATAACTTCTATAGAAGAGTAAAATGTTAGTTAAATACTATTATGAGTCTTTAAAATTTCAAAAACGTGTTTAGGGTTGAATCCCAAAAGAAAAATCTGAAGGATAAAAATCTAAATCGCATAATATCTAGCAACTCTCATGAATTTCCAAATACTACAGATGGGTGAGTAAGAAACAAATTAAAACATAAAAACTATAGATTAATTATACTACCGTAAGAAACAAACTACAAACTATAGCTTACCTAATAAATAGATTCTAACAACCACAATATTAATAACAAAAAACCAATGTTCTGAAAGTCGGATTGGACTGGTTGATCAGACCAGGAACTGATAGCCTCTCTGGTCGAATTTAGGCTTCAAGGGATTCTTGTTATATTTTAAAACTGCAGGGATTAATGTAACCAGCGCTGTTTTTACAATATTTCAAAACTTTGGGGACTAACTGAATTTTTTGGGCATTTTAAAAAATATATTAAATTTTTAGGGGTATTTTCTCTTTTTATACTATTAAACAAATTAATGATTAATAATTAAAATTTATGGATATTATTTTAATTCTAAAATTTTGGATTTAAAAATAATATTATAAATATTTTTCAATTGATTTTGTATATTTAATTTATTTTATATTTAAAATTATAATATTGTATCGAATGATAATAAATTTTTTGCACACAGTATGAAACAATATTATTAGATTAGGATACTGTGACTAAATTTTTACTTAATTTTTTGATCACCTTATAAACCAATGTTTTAATAACCGACCGGGACGAAACCGACAAAGTGGTCGGATCCGGGTGACTGGTTAAACGGTCTGACCAACGGTCAAACTGGTGACGTCATCATGCTGCAAATACAATCCAACACCATCCCAGCAAACTGCAATGTTCCGTCAATGCAAAACTGCAAGCAAAAACTCGCTTGAAAAATAAAAAATAGTTGCTCGTGAACTCAAAATATGAAATTTTCTTTGTTTTTAAATCATTATACTTGATCTCTTAGCATGCTTTCCTCTTTACAAGTTTTCATCACAAAGCATTCCAATAATTTGCAATTTACCAAGTTTCAAGAAACCCAAAATTAGATGAATGCGTAAATGATAAATTTATAAAATAAATAAATCATACTTAGTTCCCTTTTCCCTCAAATCAAAAACTATTAGGCAAAAGAAATGCACACCACTCCTCTGGTTTTTGGACAAACCCAGATGCGGCTATGGCCACAACAAACCACAGCAAAAGTTGCACTTGCTGTGTGTGAAAATGGAGGAGAGCCGCTAAACACAGACAGGAAATGGGGCAAGCCGTGGGTTTAAGAGAAGAAAAAAAGAGGTTAAGGGCCGCTTGGGGGAGAGTGAATGAGAAAAGAAAAGAGACTAGTGGTGGGCTTCGTTGTGGTGGTGAAGAGAAAGGATTTAGGAAGAGGTAGGCGAAAATCTGAGAAATTTGGACTTTAATTCCACCCAAAGTGGCGAAGAAGAACGAAGATCGTTATCTTATTGACGGCACCTTGTTGCTCTCTGAGTGCAGCCTTTCTTGCGGGGTCCCCTTTCACCACTTGGTCCAGTTTGTCTCGTTAAAGATGCCAATGAAGCACTAATTGAAAACATCAAAAAAAAAAAAAGAATATCAGTGATATATACGTACCTACCGGGTCAAGGGGGCATTAATTTGAAAGAATTATACGTTATGGTTATTTTTACCTTAGACTGGGTTGCTGCTTTTGGCGTTTCCTCTTCGAGATGGTGACAGAGAAGGTCCCTCGGAGCCTTGTGATGGGAGTGTGGGTGACTGATCTTTCTTCTGAAGAGAGTGAAGCTCGTCGATTGTCTGTGCCTTCACCGGAGGTGTACTGTCATCGTGACAAACTTGCGTTTCCTTCTTGATAGTTTGGATTTGGGTAGCTGGTTTGCGTCCACTTTCACCTTTACTCGCAAAAATGAACTCTCCGTTCTCTGACATCTAACCTGTAGGCCAAAACAAACATGAACCAAAAATTTGATGTCAATATAAATGAAAAAGTATAAAATGTATGTCAATGTCCAGTATCCACCATGCCATGCAAAAGAAAAATACATGAAAAATGAAAAGCCAGTCGTCTTCACATGAAAGTAGAAGAAATATTTCAATAACTGAAAATATGAAGATAATAACCTGAAACAAGTGACGTTGGTTTTGCAGATAATAGGGGAAGTTAGGCAATGAACCAAGGACCCTGCTACACTATGATTAATTACCGATTGATTATACCGACCCACTGCCCAATTATTGACTTCTCAAAATTTAACTCAATTCACCAAAAGTCAGTATATCAAATCGGTTGTTCAATCGTAGGTTTAGCATTATTGATGAACCAAATATGAGCATTCACTTCTTATATAGGCTTTACTGCAAGCCCACCGAAGCTTAACTGGGTCAGCTAACCATGTGGAGTTTCTGTTATCTATTAAATATGGTAAGAGGAAATTCCAAATTTTATTAATTGAATACAGTCACTAGGCAGCAAATCAGTTCTGCTTTGAATGGCACCGGCGATTAAAATGAAGAACAAGCCACCTTAAGTTTAGAAACTAAATGGATAACGTGATGACTCATCCTCAAATAAGAAATTTCACCTTTTAAAAGGGTCAAAAGAAAGCTGTATGCAACTACATGAATACAGTTTATTTTTAAAATAATATTTAGATAAGAATTAATTGTAGGCAGCAAATCAGTTCTGACTTGGGAGTTTGAGAAAATTCAGAGGTGGACTGTATGAAAAATTTGCCAACTAAGATAACCACGTCAGATCCGCATTTCTATGTTGCTCTGGTTTCTTGATTGTGCAACGTTGATGAGCCTCTTGAAGGTGAGGTCAAAAAGAACCTGATCACGATTTAAAAGCGCCTATATATCTAATATATTATTTATATTTTCTTAAATAATTTCGGATTAAAAATAATATTATTAAAATATTTAATTGATTTTGATATTTAATTTAATTTTATATTTAAAATTAAATATATATTTAATGATAATAAATATTTTTGCACATAGTATGAAACTAATTATTTATTAGATTAGGATACTGTGACTTAAATTTTTTACTTAATTTTTTGATATGCCTTATAAAATGTCTATCATTATAATTTATTTTGTCATCGTTAGATTAAAAATGATGAATGATTAGCAAAGAGTGTCAAAAAATTAAATTAAAATTTTAAGTTATAGTATTCTAACCTTTACTGTTCATTTAGGTATAAAATCATAATTATAATTAATTTTTTAATGAACATATCTCCCATTCAGTTTCTTAAAAGTAATGCTATATAAATATCATAATTATTAATATAAATAATGCAAATATTAAAAAAAATAAGATGAAGAAAATGCTACAGAGTATTATATATTAAAAATGAATGTTAAACTAGATTAAAAGTTTTCTAATGTAAATATTCTTATTAAATAAATAAAAATGAATGTTAGTGTATCATTTTTATTGGTTGTCTTATTCATCTCATTTTGATATTCAAAAACCTAAGACCAGGATAGTAGCCCAACAACTCCAATGAACTATGGGCTTGGATTTTTTTCATGGCCATAAACCTTCGCCCAAAGAAAGAAAATAAAGGACATATGGATAATTCTCTTTCTTAAACCTAACAAAACA